CTTTAACCATCAAGTATCTAGGCAACTTTATGTTCAGGCGTGTTCAAGTGTATCTTTTACGGGACGAGATGCGTACAAAAAATTAAAAGAAAGAAAAGAAACGATATTGATTAGCCATTAAGCATTCATTGCTTTGATGTCTTCATAGGTACTTCGTATTAGTAAATTATCCGGTTGTAATTCTTTATCAATTCAATATCACAAAAATTCAATCTTTGAATATGTAGCAATGTTGTCGATTAAATAGAAAACACTTAGAATCTTATACTTACCAGTTTAAAAAAATATATCCTTATTGCATTGAAATCTCATACAATTTCAAATAAATGTTAGAAGCTTATCTAATCAGAACTCTTTACATACATCTTAGACGGGTCACACTTGCTACTCAAGCAATGAAGGTATTGTATAAAACTCCTACGAGATAAAACCCCAGCGTGGGCACCACGTGGGACTGAGAAGCTTAGTTTGAAATGCTACATCTTCCATCACTTTACATCTCGCACGTTCTGAGGCCTTGTTTGTGTAAAATATCACTAATGCCTCAATTTTTAATTAAGTGATAAAACTGCGATTATGGTTTTAGGCTCCATTAATGATACGTTACAGATATGTTTGACTTTTACAGTAATAACCCATATTATCCCTTGGGTGTCGTAAGAGGCGACATAGGGAAATTAAAGTAATAGGTTACGTGTGGTAAATAAGAAGTAGGTTATAAGAAGCAGTATTTTATTTATATCAACACCTGAAGCAGCCTGCTAAGCATTTCAATTGTGGTATCCGCTCTATGCGGCAGTCCGTAAGGAAGGTGTATTTTCAGCAGAGGAAATTTAATGAGTTATTATGAATGGGCGTACAGTGAATTATTATTAATAATTTTGTATATACTCGTATATCAATACATGATGATGTATTCAAAAAGTTTTATAAACCGTACATTTAATTTTACGAAAGTTAATTCGATATAAAAATACAACAAGCAAAATAATAAGTCAATAAAACATAAATAAAGCAAGAGATTGGAACTGTTATGATTAAGTAATAAATCCCTAAGGTTTTTATTGGAAACTTTTGTGAACAATCTATATGGCCCTTCAACTTGATATGGTATCTCATTTATCTAAGTGCTTTATTATTTGTCTTATACAATTCAGGTGATAAACCTCACTAAAGTTATAATGGTTACGTGTAATTGAAAAACCCAGTCAGTTTTGACAACGAGCAATTATTATCGAATATTAACGAATATTTCACTTGAGCAAAATTATTAAAAAGTTGAATGACTTACGAGTAGTTGTTATGAGTCCAGATGTTCATCTTGGTGCAATTCTCGTATTTCAAAATAAAAGATGGTAACGCCTCCACTGTATATTGATAAAACAGACAAGTAATTAGTTTCCTCAACTATGACATTACTTTGGTTAACTATGGCATGAAAACGTTGAACACCTCAGTCCCTCCATTAATATGGGTGCTAAAGTACTCGAAACGCGAGTATATTATAAGTTAACAATCGCGATGAAATCCGTAAAACTAAGTTTCGTTTAAATGTGTGTTGAACAACACATAGGAAACATAGGAAATCATTAAATAAGTGTACTTGTTGGTACCAGTAGACGAAGTGCAGGGCGTCCCCTCACTAGATGGATTGACGATCTGGTAAGACATGCAGGAAGTCGATGGATGAAGATGGCTCTGGAGTGTGCTTAGCGGAATTCCTTGGGGGAGGCCTATGTTCAGCTGTGGACTTGTAAAGGGCTGTAATGATTATGACGATGACTTGCTGGTTGACGACAGATTATGAAAGAGGGTGGAACCGATCTAAACTGTCTCCTAGACAGAAAATAAATTCCAAATTTTGATTTAAGCTATTGGGTTTTTTATAAATGATAAATGATTCGAATTCAAGACTTCGTAATAATAACCAGTTATTCAGACCACCAAATTACTTTTCATTCCTCCCGATGGAAAAATCTATCACCAAATATTTTTCATATATTCGCGTAAAGGAATCATTAATTATTAAAAAAAATAATTAAAAAGTTAAAAATAGAGAAAAAATTTAATATCATAAAATTATTTTAATAAAATATACTTGCTGTCTTCTTATCCTTTTAAATAGACATTTACATATTCCTGAAGAGACTCAAAAATCAACTTCAAAGGCGACAATTTCTGACGAAGTATATATCACACATGACTTTGCAATGCCAAAAAGCTTACGGTATTCGAGATTGAATCGTAAGTTAATATGTAGCCTTTGAATAAAAATCATTTTTTGTTCAAAGGCTACATATTAATTTTTGAATTAACAACAAGTATAGATATCGTCAAAGATTTTTTTTTCATTTGAAGTAGTATAATATGCTAAAGCTCTCAACAGTCCACATGATGGTAGATGGCTTCTGTAGTATATAGACACCTGTAGCCAACTTCAAACAAAGAACACTACAGAAGCGAGAACTAAGATGGAATGCCTTATAACTTGTAATCGTATTCACAAGGTTTTCCACATTTTAATAGTGATTAAAGGAAATAAATTTAAACATTTTAGAAGTGATTAAAGCAAAGGAAGGTAGCTCAGATGGTAAGCGCTCGCTGTAAATTTCACAGTACGTAAGCAAACCGGGTTCGATCCCCGCCGGTACCAATGAAATTGTTAATTGCAATTTTAAGTGCTGATTTACCACGTGCTCGTTGGTTTAGGAAAACATTATGAGGAAACTTTCATGTCAGAGAAATAAGAAAAAATAAATATTTCATAGACATGGGAAGTTCGCCAAGCATTGGCCAGCGCGGCGGACAATTCCTTGCCCAGAAACCCTCTCAGAAATGAACGGAGGTCTGTGCCCGGGAGTGGGACATATATAGGCTGAAAGTTTACCTTTTTTTAAAGGGAAATATGAAGTCCAAAAACAAGCACCGGTGCAACACAATGCACTAAATACCTCTTTACCGCTTCAAAAGTGAGGGGAGGCTTGTGTCATAGCAGTGAAATTTGTTATGTACTAACTACACAGTTTAATGGATATTAGGAAATAATTCTACGGAAGAAAATGTATATAAAAAACTAAAGATACTACAAATTATTTATCATTAAAATTAAAACAAGACGAAAACTTGTTAAGCAATCTAATAGGAAAACCTGTTTCAAATTCTTTATTCAAGGGGAGCACCAAGAGTTTTGATTAAGTTATCCAAATTATCACACCATTGATATTATTGGAATTGGTAGAGGGTCCTGTGAGATTCCAGATCGTTTTCAACTATCCGTTAAGGTAATTGCTATTTAATTGACATTCCAAATGCAATGCAAATTACGGAATCACGGAGGGTATTGAGGTCAGTAAATTATTTGTAAGGTATGTATAATAATAATTTGTAAACTGCACTAACTACGTTACTGCGGTATTTGTATATATTTAACACATACTTCATATTCACAAATAGTTTATTGATTATAGAAGATGGCTGGGTACTACCACCTGCTTTGGATCTTATAATTAATAAAATTAAATCCCAACCCAAGTGAACAACTGCAAAAATTCAGGATATTATAACTTCATACTGCGTAGATCGGAACAAAAATTAATAATTTTAATCTGTGGTTACCACATATTAAAATTATTAATTTTTGTGCGCAGATAAGTACTGACATCATGACTTTGTGGCGTCAGCCTTCCCCAATCCTCTACCTCAGTCCCTCCCATCCTCATGACCATGGGTGCTGTAAAGTACTCAAAAAGTTGGGAATATAAATTAAGTTAATATAGGCGATAAATTCCGCATAAACTAGTTTTATTTAAATGTTTAATAGTCACGTAAGTATAAGAAATTATGTCTTACCTCTTTAGGTTTTCAGGTCTTTAATTTTTTTCAGTATTTTTTTGATATACTAACTGAAACCTGTTTAATTTTTTTTATAGAAGAGGGGGCAAACGAGCATGCGGCTCACCTGATGTTAAGTGACTACCGCCGCCCATGATCAACCGCATCACCAGGGGAATTACAGGTGCGTTGCCGGCCCTTTAGAAGGGAGTAAGCTCTTTTCTTGAAGGTCCCCAGGTCGTATCGGTCCGGAAAAATCTCCGGTGGTAAACTATTCCACAGAAAGGTTGTACGCGGAAGAAAACTCCTTTTGGAACGTACTGTGGTGGACCGCCAAGCATCCAGATGGTATGGATGGTATCGGGACGTTTCTAATTTGTTCTTTTTTCCAGTTTCCAACAAATTTCCTAGTTGGGAAAATAATAAGATTTTCAGTTTCGTTCAGTCAAATCATTGATTACGATTAGAATATGTAATCATAAATTCGTAAATTTGTATGTATAAGAGAAATATCAAATGACACTCACTCATCACGAGATCTCCAAAACTATACGCGCCATTGACCTTAAATTTGACATATATATAATTACTTTCTCGACCTAGATACCCGATTTTTAATAATCGACTTTTTTAATGCGTACAGCAAAATAGTAGAATAATTTGCCGGCGTCTATCTTTCCGTCCGAATACAATCCTGTATTTCGAAATAAAAAAAATATTTGGTTGTCGCTTTAGTTTACAAAATATGATTTTTTGAAAAAAAAAACGTTTTAAAGTACCATAGGCCGTGTTTAACATTTATTTTAAAATAACTACAGCACTAAAACTTATCAAACTTTTAACTTATGCAAAGAAACACTCTAAGAAAGAAACAGCTAAACAAAAACAACACTTGAGTATTAAATTACAAAAACTGTAACCGTGACATGTATTTATATGAATCCGAGATGCCACTGCATCAAGAGTTTGCTTAACGCTAAAATGGGCGGTCACTCTACCATTATTTCGTCCGCGCCGCGGTCAATCGAGCGGCTAACTGATATCATCCCGTGGGTGTCGTAAGAGGCGACAGAGGGAAAAAATCAGGGGATAACACATTTCTATTATCGAAAAAAATAAAATATTTATTTCATACCCATTTTTATACCTAAAAAGTACTCATTTCTTCTCTAGTTACTGTGCAAATGTCTTCCCTCCTGTTGGCATACAAATTTGTTTGATAAACTAAATGCTCCAACAAACTTAGGCCAAAACAATTTAAATAATGTAGCAGGTGTTGGATCCTGCAGTTGAGATATGTGAGTAGGTAAGCTTGTATCTGTATTAAATTGTTCTGGTGGAGATGCAGCACGTACCCTATGTCTCCACTTAGGTTCAGCTATATTGTCTAGATTTCGAATAGATGAAGTATCAGCAGGCTCAACTACTAAATCCCTCGTCCTTCGAGAGGATGAAACCTTACCAGGAACACTGGTTTTCATCAATAGTGACTGGACTCCACTAGAAACCTCGTTCGAAACTGCTTCTTGAGCTGGTACGTCTACTATATCAGATGGGTTGGCTGACCTCTGGATATCTGACAGAGGCATGTCAAATTCGGGATCTTCGTCATCGTCAATCTCTGCAGCAACTACTATGGGAATCTGAATAGGAGACTCCTCATCTTCATCTTCAGAGATACCGGAACCTTCAGAAGGTATATCTGCCAGGATTGACACGATCAGATTCGCATCGCGTTCTAAGTTCTGTAACGAACATAAAATATTATTTTAGATGATAAAATTAATTAATAAATCAAAAGAAACAAAAAAAGAAAATCAATAAAGTTATTTAATTTTAAATAGCACTACTTGCACGGTGGTAAATATTCTAACCACGGAGTAATTGCTTCCGAAAATGCGGGAAAATAACCTTTCTTACAATAAAAATTATTGTTACTACAGTAAAAACACAGTAAACTAATAGAAAATAGTAAAGTACAATCAAACTTACCATGATTTTCAAAAAATAACCGTAACTAAATACACAGCAAAACAGAAAAAGTTGTCGCACACTTTACGATTCAAAATAATACTGCTAGCGAGCGCCACTTAGAGCACATAACTATGAATAAAAACAAAGGATAACACCTCGCTTGTGTTTCTGAAGCTAGTTCTGCTGTTTGACGCTAGATGACGATAAAATAAAATTTTGATCCAAGTGGTAAAAAAATCGACCACCATGCCACAAAGAGAACATGGTGGACGCGAGTACCCCGGGTTCGATCCCTGCCGGTACCAATGAAATTCTTAATCGCAATTTTAAGTGCTAATTTACCACGAGCTCGGCGGTGAAGGATAACATCGTCAGGAAACCTGTCTATATTTTAAAGAGATGTGAAATTCCCCAACACGCATTGGGGCTGCGCGGCGGATACTTACTTGCTCTAAAACCCTCTCAGAAATAAGGGGAGGCCTGTATCCAGCTGTGGAACGTATAATATAGGCTGTAACTTTACTTTTTACTTTTATCCACTAATTAAGGCATTTCATCCGCTCTTAGGGCTCTAATTTTGCAAGTTGTAAACCCATTTTAATGATTGATTTCTAACTAAATAGTCTTTAATTGAGGGGTGGTCCCGATTAAATTTAAATTTAAATCTTACTCATTAGCGCAGATAATAGGAAATCAAAGGACAAAAAGGAAATAAGAATTTAAGACAGCCATTTATACTACCGTATATGGCTGCCGACGTTAAGCTCTCAATATTATGAATGAAATTTTTTTTATTTAAATAGTGTAAGTTATGGTGTAAAATTAGTGGAGTGAATAAACAAATATTTATTATTTATTATTGTTTAATAATTCTTTGATACGCTGTCTTAGCAACCTAACATTCATTACACTAAATAAAACATGCACTTCTATTATGGTTTTAGTTCTTCGATGTTGCTATATATATTTTATATACATCATAATTTTACTTTGTTTCTTAAAATTAAATTACCAATATACATATAATTTTGTGCTTCGAGATATTTAAACTTCAATTCAGTGCATTTTTAAGTACAGACGTGAATAATATGACATGTTAAAAGTTCCTCGAAGTTTAAACATAAAAGACGTTAATTAAAATAGAGGGTTCACGGCAAACTATACCAAAGCAACTTGGCTAATAAAGGCTTCAACTTCGTCTTTAAACTAAAACGGTAATAAAAACTTGAAAAATATACTAAAAAAATCACCCGCATTCAGGTAAAAACGTCGAGAGCATGTTAAAAACAATTTGGTAACAAGATCTCTTATATATTTTTGTTAAAACTTAGAAGGTGTCTATATTAAACTAGATAATTTCATTCGATACTCGCAGGCATCAATAAAATAGTTAATTGCAATTATAGATGATCGTCGACGGTAAAGGAAAACATCGTGAGGTAAAAACAATAATTTATGGAAGTCATGTGGAGTCCTAAGCTAACCTAGTAAAAGATTCAGGAAATCTATGGTTGGACTACCATTCTCTGTGGCATTGCTTAGGGGGAGGCTGAGAAATGAGAGAAAACCTCAGCACAGATTTGGGACGTGTATAGGGCTAATTTTACTTTTTTTTATTGTAAAAAATGTGCCTATTAACTTTCTTTGCTTTTCTTGATTTTTGAAAGTATGGACCAAATATTTTTAAAGTCGTTAAGTGGTTAGTTGTTTTTGACAGTATAAACAAATTGGAGTTTTTTTTTAAACTACACTTATGATATTATAAGATAACTGTAAAAGAATTAAGTCCTCAATATTGAAAAATTCAATGGTATGAGCACCTCTTTCTTTATGGTCGGCGCCGTCGTTCCTGATGGCACGGCAAAGGCCCATAAAAAGTTGAAAAGTCAAAAGAAAAACAAATAGTTTTAAAATCGTTGTACATAATTTTCATAATTTTTTGTACAATAATAAGATATCAATAGTAAGATATCTACGTCTATACTCGATTAAGATTGAAAATGCACCAATTCACCTCAAAGGATTAAGATGGATGTCTCGTTTCCACTGAAAAGTGTCTCTACTGATTATCTACACTCACTATGGTGACGTACAAAACACAGCAAGCTTAAGGCGCATGTTTGTTATTAATCCACTACTATCCACTTGTTATTAAGAAGATATATTAACTAATAACAATACATTAAATTTCTACATAATTTGGATTCCATAATAGCCTATTTATTTTTTGTAAAAGGAAGTTGGAGTTAATATTTGATTTATCTTTTAACAACGAAACCACAGAAATGTGAAATAATTATTGATAACATGCGTCTCCGCGTACAGTAGCTAAGCATTATTTTATTTTGAGAGTGACACTAATGGATAGGCAATTTATTAATGAACATTTTGCTTATTTAATTTTTCAAAAGACCGATATTTAATTTTATAAAGTAATTATTTTAAAATCTAGGCGATACTTCGAAACACAGCCGCCTTAATATGTTATTTTACGCTGGTATTCTGGGTGAGCGTGGTCTTTCTTCGCTCTACTACCATAATATGCCTGCATCGTGGTTCTGTCACGTATAAAGTGCAACTAAAACATAACATTAATAAGATAGACACTTGCATATATTTGTCGTGCAATGCTCTATCTATGTTTTATACTAACTACATAATTTTAGGCAACAAATGTGAACCATACAGCATGTTCTGCGAATATGGTTTAAATCAATTCTGCTTCTGTAGAGACAAGTGCGTGTTAGATTCGCCTAAAGCAGGTTTCTGCTGTGATGACCATCTCTAATATTTTCTGCTGTGCTGACCATCTCTAATATTTTCTGCTGTGCTGACCATCTCTAATATTTTCTTTACTTCGAATGCTACAGTGTCAATTGGAACAAATTTAGGATTTTTTTTCTCTGTGTCTTGTTTGTCTCGTCTATGTAATCAAATTATTTGTAAAATATACGACATGGACCAATGTTTAGATTATTTACTAAATTTAAGAAAGATATACTGAACTGTGTTGGTTAACTTTGAAATTAAGCTTTTGTTTCTTACTGCTATTCTTAACTTTTCTACTTTTTAAGTAATCATAGTTACCTGTCTTACAGAAGTAAGAAAACTTTGACAGAACATCTGTCAGAAATATTGTAAGACCTGTTGGCGATCATTAAAATATATCACTAAGAGCATACGCTTAAACATATTTAGATGCATTTTTTTTAAAACTTAAAGTGAAAATATTTCAGAAAAATAAAAAAAAAACACTTTAGTATGTACTATCTATGTGTGGTCTGTTAAAATGCCTGATATTTCAAAAAATGAGCTTAACTAAAAAAATTGGCCGGAAGAAAGTCATAAATATATTAAAAATTCTACATAAAAATATCCAATTTGTGATAGAAAGAAAATTCAAGAAAAGAGGCTACTCTTTTTATAAGACCGGCAACGCATTTGCAATTTCTTTGGTGTTGCAGTTAATCATGGGCGGCGGTTGTTACTTAGTTTACAGTTTTACCTCTTTGTATGTAAAGAAAACGTGAAATATTGTACCTATCCATATTATTTTTTGTAGATTATCGAAAGAATATACTCTTAAATTTTTAACAATTTTAATCAAAATCGTCAAAGAGAACCAGGTTATCAGAGTTCTTTGTACGACAATGAAACATTAGAAACATTTTCGCCACTACAAGGTGGCGCAATTAGCTACTCGTAGGGATAATGTACTTTGTAAATGAGAGTACGTCTAGAGAGAACAAATATGTACTTATACGGGCGGCACTGAAAATTTTGGGAATCAAGGAAGTGACACAACATTACTATTTAAAAATGCATTTATTGCTTTTCGAAGTATTCTCCGCGAAATTTGACATATTTTTCCACATGATGGAACCAATCATTGAAGCAACCATTCCATTCGGAAGTTGGGTTCTCCAAAATGGCCGTTTTGTAGCTTCTTCAGGTGATGAAAATCTTTGTCCACGTAATTTATTCTTTATTTTAGGGAAAGTACAGAAATCATTAGGGCTTAGGTCGGGGCTGTACGGCGGATGATCTAATAATTCTATGTTTTCTTGCTCTAAAAACTCTTTTGTTCTGTGTGCGGTGTGAGAACTCGCATTGTCGTGATGGAGGATGCGGCGGTTGCAGTTCTCATTACGAAGTTAAGAAACGACTTGTGGCAAACAAATGCTAGCATACCATTCTGCATTAACCGTTCTTTGTCTCTCAAGAGGAATAGTCGTAACATGGCCGCTTTTTGGAGACAAACGTGGCCACCATTTTTTTTGCAACACTCCGTGAACGAACAATTTTTGTTGGCTTTAACTCATTTTCGAACACCAAACTCGTGACTGGTTTTTTTTCAGGTTCGTACGCATATATCCAGGATTCGTCACCTGATACGATGTTATATACATCATTTGAGATCCTGAGTGGAATCTTTCGAGAGTTCTGACGCACCAAGTAACGCGAGCCGCTTTTTGCTCTTCACAGAGCGAATGCGGTATCCATCGGGAAAACAACTTTTTTACACCTAATTGTTCATGCAAGATTATTTGTATTTGACTCATGCCAATGTCTATAGTTGCCTGAATTTCGCGGTATGTCACATGTCGATCTTCCTCAATCAGCTTACGCACAGCATCAACGTTTTCTTGGGTGACTGCAGTTTTTGGACCACCTTGACGGGGATCATCACTGAGCTTGACACGTCCACGTTGAAATTCAGCAAAGCAGCGATAAATTGTGGCTTTGGATGGGGCTTCATCACTAAATGCAGAAATCATCCGGTCAACACACTGTTTTTGTGTTAAACCACTTCGAAAGTCATAATAAATCATCGCTCTTGAATTTTCTCGAGTCAATTCCATTTTCTCAACGACTAAACAAGTTTGAAAAAACCTTGTGAAAAGACCGAGAATCTTTTTTTAAATAAATAAATGGTATTCGATTTTTAAAACCAAGGAGTTTTCAATTAAAAAGATTTTAATATGACAGGAACAGTGGAAATATTCCATTCCTGATACTTT